AGAGAGAGTGAGTATGGGGGAAAGAGAGAGAGTGAGTATGGGGGAAAGAGAGAGTAAAATAGAGGGTAAAGAAAGGGGCAAAGTGAGATTGAAAGAGAGGGAGAGGGGATAGAGGGGGGGAACAGAGGATAAAGAAAGAGGGAAAGTGAGATAGAGGGGAAGAGTGAGAGGGAAATGGTGAGGGGGAGTTAAGTCCCTGAGGAATTATTATTTGAATTAGGCGGCAGGTTGTAGAGGCAGCCTCACACGACTGTCTGATAACATACCTTAACAGCGTCAGAACAAAGGATTAAGGTGAGCTGCAGAGGACCCGACTCTTCACGGCTAAGAAAAGCCTGGCAGAGTGTGGCGATCTGCTGAGAGGGGCCCTGGTGGAGGGGGGGGGTGTGCGTCCGTGTCCTGGCAGCCCAGTGAGCCTTCGTTCCCCATGTGGAACATGGTCTAACAGTGAGTGGGGGCGGGGGCGGGGGCGGGGGGGGCTGAGGCCACAGGCCCCTGGAGTGGGAACAGCTGCAGCTGGATAGTTTGACAGCCCTGACTGACAGGACTGGATTAGGACTTCCACATCATTAGGAAGCCACAGTGCATAAAGGCAGAGTGAGGAAAGACAATGGCATCAGGAGCAGAGAATCCGGTCCCTGCATTTACCCAAGCGTGTTCCTGTACAGTGTCCTGCGTGTTTTCTGATATGGTTTCCTCTATGATTCCTTGTCTCTTTTTTAGTACAGTTTCCTGTGTGCTTTCCAGTGCACTTTCCTCTAGGTTTCCCTGTATGGTTTCCTAGACATTTTCCTGTATGAGTTTCTGTCTGTTCACCAGTCAGTTTTCCTGTGCTTTTTCCATTACAGTTTTTTTCGACAATTGCCACATGGTTTCCTGTAGAGATTCTTATACAATTTTTATTCAATTTACTGTATGATTTCCTTTCCAGTTTCCTGTGCAGATTTCTGGATGATTCCACTCTGGTTTCTGGTATGGTTTCCTGTATGATTTCCTTTCTGTTTTCCGGTACAGTTTCCTGTTCAGGTTCCCAATATGATTTCCTCTTCAGTCTCCTGTACGGGATTCCTGTATGACTTCCACTCTGGTTTCCAGTACAGTTTCCTGTCTGATTTCCTCTCTGGTTTCCAGTATAGTTTCTTGTATTTTTTCCTCTCCAGTTTCCAGTACAGTTTCCTGTCTGAGTTCCTCTCTGGTTTCTGGTACGGTTTCCTGTCTGATTTCCTCTGGTTTCCAGTACAGTTTCCTGTCTGATTTCCTCTCTGGTTTCTGGTACGGTTTCCTGTCTGAGTTCCTCTATGGTTTCCTTTATGGTATGTTGCCCAGTTTTCCTAATGGTTTCCTGTTCTTAGCGAACGTAGCTCTCATGTCCCTTTACCAAGCCAGTTGCTTGTGGGTGGATTAGAAGCAGGTTAAACGTGTTTGTCCACTGGTTTTGCAGGGCTGGGGGGTGGGCAGTGGCAGAGGAGGAGGTGCGGGAAGCGGTGCGGTGTACGAGTGCAGAGAAGGCAAGTGGGCGGGAGGGACAGGGAGGGAGATGAAAAGGCATTGAGGCGCAGCACGGTGCTAATTATGCCATTGTGTTGGGGAGAAAGAATAGAGTGGGAGTGTATGGGAGAGAAGGTGGGGGTGGGGG